GAAACGCCTCCGACAGCTTTTCTGCTCTCTCCACAGAGAGAGAGTGTATGTGTGTGCTGGGGACGTCGTATAGTTTTAATTAATTTAATTTCACGCTCATAAAATGCCAAACAATGTGAAAAACTCATGCACACACACGGGATGGAGGCAGGGAAAAGCGCGTAAGTTCAGACGGGATTTTGGATAGAGATCCGTTGGAAAAGTTATGAAGGCTTTAAAATTGTCCTGTCAGCGGGTCGTCCGCCTGCAAATGACAAGGAGTGTAATTAACACACTCACACACCCACACCCACACACACAGTTTATCAACTAAATTTGTCATAATTGAATTGCAACGGAAATATACAGTTGGAAAAGGGCGACTTTTCACATGTCAGACTTCTTCTATATATTTGCTTTTAAATTGAGATCGAATCGCATTACAGAGATCGACAGCAATTGAAGGCACTTAGCGTGTATATCTGTGTCACTTTGAATCAGCAAAGTAATCAAAATTGAATGGCTCTTGAAATAATATTAAATGCGGATTACTTAACTTGACTGACTGCCTTTCTGGGTTGCCACATGCCCACATGAAGGGAAATCCGCAAGTAACTGCGAAATCTAACCGCAGAATGTGGCAAGTGGCAAGCCGCAGATTGCAGTGACATATAAAGCTAATGAATTGGTCACCAATTTAGAAATCAAAAGGTTCTAGAGAACACATGCGAGTTTGTCAAGCAAAAATAATGTTCTACGCTCTAATAAGACTTATTATTATTACTTCAAGCATTAATTTAAGGAGCTCTTCTTTTAATATTTCTTTCAAGAATTTTCTCGCTTAGTATTTCCTCACTTTAAGTCTAAACTCGACAGGAAATTAGTAATCGTGTTAAAAGTAATTCAAAAACACATGCTTTTAATTAAGGGAGTTGAGTCAGAAGCTATAACAGCTGCTGATGGAAGAAAGATTCGTCGTTGTAGCCTCAAGATATATACATCATGGAATTTTACAAGGTTTTTCGTATTCCCCAGATTTGTTTACTCTCTAGTATTTCATTTTCTGATGGTTTGGGGAATATGTTTCGTATTTAGATGGCTAATGTTTTGGTCTACTGAATCGCATAATAAACACGAACATGGAAATCAACACGAACTGCAAATCACCAGGCATTAGACATTACCTTTCTTTTTTTTGTTATTTCAACAGAACCCTCAAAAGCGTCTCTCATATTCCATTTGACGAAAAGATCTTGTGAATAAGTTAGCTTCGGTATTTTGAGGATTGTGCAATTTTCAATTCCTTGGAATCTCTGATGATCAAATGTTGATGTCTAGCTCATGCATAAATATTTAGCTGACGAAGATCGGTCTCCTTCTGAATGTGAGCTCTGGAAATGTATCTGTCTCAAAGTTTTGATGATCTGTCTCTGCTTTCAAGTGGTTCTGTTTCGTTTATTTTTTAAGCAGAATTTTTGGGCAGAATTTGTGTTGATTTTGAACGTTGAGAAAAATCGTAAATTAGGCGGTGGATAAATAAATTATTCACACTTCAAAGGGCAGGGTTTTATGTATTCCTCAAAACATATACAACTAATAACTTAGTTAGAGACTCTAATTAAAGTGAAACTTGTTCTAAAAGAAATAAATGATTTAAAATGCTAATCCATAGACTTGCTTTCCTGGTAGCAGAAATGTTATTCCTACTGCTTCTTAGTATCATTTCAATTGTAATGTAATAAATCGCTCATTGTTACTTAATATATCAAAGTATATATACGTAAATTGATTGGAATTGTTAATTTCCACAATTGCTGTGACTAAATAATGACACCACGCCATATGATTTCTCTCAGTTGCCGTATCTCGAACCTCATTAAGGCAATTTTCCTATTAGCAAACGTTAGAATCTGAATTTTAAAAATTGTGTGGAAAACAGACAGTGGGAGTGGGATCTTTCGTTGGCATAATTTATAGTTTCTATTTGCGGTCAATTAAACATCCATCTTGGCTCGCTCTGATAACCCGAAGCGATGAGAGTCACACGGATATGAAGAGACGGCAGACAATGCATTTTGGCAGACGTCCAAGCAGAATGCTGAGAAATCCCCAGTATTCCCCAACTAAGTAGCTGTGGCCAAAGTGCCACCTGTTGGATATTGGATGCAAAACTGACTTTGCCTTGGCCGTCTGTCAGTTGAGTTCCCTGGTTCCCTGGTACTCCACTCCACTCGCCTCCCGGAATTATCATCATCCGTCAGGGCGGCAGTCGGAAGGCAGGCTGCCTGTCCCGGGTTTATATATGTATGTATATATCTTCCCTTTGGTGGGACAATGCAGAGACATTTCTCTTGCATGGAACACTCAAGCTCACTAGGAAAATGCTACATTTTGGCTGGCAAATCACGCAAATGAAATGCACAAAATATGCGCCATTTATAACATGCTACGGACATCTCTGCCTGTCTCCCCTTTGGTTACCACGCCCTGTGGCCTGGGGCAGCTTGTACGTGTGGCAGAGTTTGGCTAGAAATGTGGCAAAAATTATGAGCCAACAACAGGCAACAGGCCACAGGCTGACAGGCCACTTATGCACTGCAAATAATACTTAAATGCATACATATGCAGATTCAAATCTGAAGTTCTTAGTCAAGTAAAGATGCACTTGGAAATATGGGAATATGGAGAGGAGGACTTGTCTAAATCTTAGTTGCTTAGTTGCTTTCTGAGCAATATTTTTACTGGGAAATGCTTCATTTTATATGTGGCCCACCATTTTTCAATGCTTCAACTCTATCTAAGGATGTTTAATTCTGTAAAAGAGAAGCATGTAAAATTTAAGAGATGCTTTGGCTTATTATGATTTTTTTGGTTGTACATAATCCAGAAGACAATTCTCCTTATTTATACTCTTGCAGGATCTTTTAATTTCAGTTAGAAGCCTATAAAGCTATGAAGGAATCATTTCCGATCCTATAAATCATATATGTTCTTGATCAGCATTAACAGGCGAATCTTTTGAGCCATGTCCGACAAATATTTTAATTTTTTCAAAATTTCCAACAATTTTATGATGTTAAATTGGTCAAAAAACTTGACAAAAATTTTAATTAAAAAAAATGTATATTGACTATGCAGATTAATTAGCCTAATAAAAACTAACATAGGACAGCTTACCGAATTAAAAATAAGCCTTTATTGACGTAGTTATGGGTTTTTTTAAAGCATGATTTGAGGAAAAAATCGTCAAATACAAATTTTGATAAATATCGTTTCAAAGAATGGTATTTTAATTTTCTTCTGCAGCTTGTAAGTCTGTCAAGGAATCACTTCCGTTCTTTTATTACCCTTAAATAATTTTTCAAATATTATTTACAGTGTGATCAAAGAAAACCAAAGACATTGCACACGCATTAAAGGCAGGGAGAAGCCGGCTGCCTTATATTATGCACCCCCACTCTACCTTTTTTTTCGCTTTTCCAACCCCCCTTCCTTATACCTCACCAACCCCCCCTGGCCACACTCAATTGCGCGCTAATTTAGCGCAGCTCGCACTTAATAATTTCTTTTCATAATTGAGTAAAAAGGCGAAACGGAGAGAGAGAGAAATAAAAGTGACGGAAAGCGAACCGGTGGGGCACAAAACAGCGACGCCACTGCAATTGAATAAGAGGGGCACAAATTGGCGGCGGTGAGGGAAATAAAGCCAATTTAGGGAGGGTTGAGCCTAAGATCGTCTCAGGATATTACATATAATATTCAAAAAATTATTTTAAATATTGTTAATAAATAAAAATTACTAAATGGAATTTCGAAAATTGGAAAATATAAATTGCTGAAGAGATAGCAAGAGCTTTTTACATTTGGAATAATTTCTTTACTAACAAATAATATTCATCAATACTATATTATTATATTCACTATATTCTCCCTCATATTCTTCAATAAAATTCTTTCAAATATTTTTCTACGTTCAACCAACTTTACTATCCCCCTCGATGGATGTCATTTAAACTATCAACCATTGCACACACGCTGAGAAAGAAAAAAGAGAGAGACAACGCCATGACGCCTTGATTGAGCACAACAAGCAGCAGCGCACCCTGCTGCCCCCTTTTCCTATCCTCAACCCCCCCCCCCCCCACAATTTTCCACCCATTCATTCATTTTCCTCTAAAGTCACGCAAAAGATTTATGACAACTACATTTTTGGATGAAAGGAGGCAATGCATACACTTCACTTTAATCCGTATAAAATTAACTTTGAAGTTGAAACAATTAAGGGCAGAAAATGCCAAGAAAATGTTGTCAAGATGTGAGGAAAACTGAGGAACAAAAAGACGAGCGTTAAGTAGGTGAAACCTAATAGAGCAAAAACAGAAATAAAAGAAAAGTCTCAACCTAATAGATCGTTTATCTCTCTGCTCTTTGTGGCAAATGATATCTTAGACAAGTTGGAGGGCAAATTTGCTGGCAATTAATTTCCAATTGTGGGGCCTATTGATGACACTTTGAGCAACGACTTAATTGGGCATCGGTTACCCGCAAATACAAGGACAACAAAAGGACTCAGGACCCACACCTTCACACACACACGCACACTTTGAGTTTGGGGAAAAAGACATTAGGAAAACATAATGCGTTTGTCGATTAATCAACTGTCCAAATAGAAGTAGTTAGGGTCGCTGCTTCCCTCGCTTTTTGCCTTTGCTTAACTAATTTATAGGATTTTTATCCTGAATGTGGGAACATGAGCGGGGGTGGCGTGATAATTGCACTATAAAATGCGCAACTGGGAGAAAATAAATTAGGTCTTGTGTGGGTCTGGTTTTTTTTTTCATCGACGGGCGAAATAAATCTCAATTCATATGAAAATCGATTACGTTGCGCATTATTAATTATTTAAAAGGTTTCCACGGAAATGGCCAGGAAGTTGCTCTCTTTCTGCTTTTGCTGTTTACCATCATCCCCTCGAGGTAATTAATAAATAAATTAATGGCCAAAAATGATTTCCAACTTACGTTTTCTTTTTCGTCGTAGTGCAAACTTACCTGAAAGTAAAAGAGAGAGAGAGAGGGGAAAATGGAAAATTAAATTTCATTGTAAGTAAATGTTATTCGAGCATAAATTATGGGCGCATGTTGGAAAATGAAAATTGAAAATTCATCAAAAAAAAAAAATATGTGGAAGATGGGGCATAAATCACCGGGGCAGGAATGTGCGAAAAAATTAATATCAATATGTTTTTTGTTGTTTGCTGGTTTTTTCTTTGTTCAATTTATTAGTGTCAAAATGGCAACAAAAGGCGGACGGCAGGAGTATCCTTTGGTCGCAGGACAAAGCCAGCAAATTTATCACGCAGCCCTTAACCATTCTTTTTCCCCTAAAAAAAAAACTGAAACACACACGTGAACTTGCAACAATGATAACTTGCCCCCAACCGTGTGTGTGTGTGTGTGTGTGTCTGTGTGGTGTCTTTGACTTGGCCATTGTGCGTCTTTTGGCCTCTTTTGTGTCTCATAAGTCATTTCGGCCAGCTCGAATAATTCATAATCGATTCTCAAAGGCGCTCAACGCGCTGTCCCCCCAAAAACTCACTACCCTTGGCTCCATTTCCCCACCACATTTCTCTGGAGACAAGTTCGTTTGGTTTTCTGGGCTAGGAATGGTCCAACATTTACTTATGAAAATCAAAGTGAGTCCTGGGGATTCACTGAAGGAGGAGGAGGAGGAGGAGGAGGAGGAGGAGGACTCCAAGTTCGAATACCAAAAGTGGGGGTAATGGGCTGGAACAAGACAAACACGGCACGCTCGCTGAATTTCTATTAAGCCAAATAACTCAAAAGTAATTGCCCGAGCGTTGTCGAGGTAGCAATTGCACTCAGGCACTCTCGAGAGCTGAAACAGAGAGAGCTTTTGGCCAGGCAGCGGCAACATCCTGCTATAGGGATCATCAATATGTGCACCTTAATGGATGCTTAAATAAATTATAACTTCAAATTGCGATTGCCAAAGCGTTCTCGCTGGTTCTTAGCCAGAGCCAAAAACTAACTCAAGTTGCGGCACGTACACAGCTAAATACATTACGCTCGACTGCAGTTGTGCGAAAATATTTACACGTGATTCCAAAAAAATTCCTCTCAACAAAATAAAAAAGTGAAGGGGGCGAAAAAAAGAAGGAGACTAACTTCTCAGTTATTCTTTCGCCGATGCCACAAGTTGTGGTGGGAAAATAGATCATTAAAATTTTATTAGCTACAATGTTCACTGCAAAAAAGGAAAGCAGGACTTTTAAAAGCAAGTAAAGTAATAGTACAAGTTGATTAAAAACTAATTTAAATAGAAAAAACCTATTTAATATGCTCTAGTTTTGTAAATTGATTTATAGAAAGAAAGCTTTACCAAGTTAATATGACTTTCAAATCTAAATTGATATATCAAAACTACAAAAAGCAGTGAGGAATATTAACATTCTTTAATATTATTCTTCTATTTATTTATTTTGAGAATAAGATGTATAAATCTTGTTTAAAATCATTTTCTGGCTTATTTTCCACCTGGATATCTAACTAATTGGTCTGCGCAAACGCAATTAGCGGGCTGATGGGGCAAAACCAAAGGAGATGACCTCGCCGCTGGAGCTCCCTGATCTCCGGAGAGCTCTTTAAACAGGTTAGCAGCTGTTCTGAAACAGAGAACAGGACGAGGAACAGGATGGAGAGCAGGATGGGAAACAGGACGAGTAACAGAAGCGACCTCATTGCACTCGAGAGCGCAATCGTTTAGCGACGTGATGCAAGCCAAAGGAGTCAGAGGAGCCACGAGTGAAGGATCCAAAGGAACCACCGAGAGGCGCCGCCGCTTGCATACAAATTGGCGCACGTGTGTGTGTGTGTGCAAGGTGGGAAGAATATTGTTGAAAGCCTTGCCACAGCACGCACACACACACACACACACACACACACACACATACACACTGGGTCAAACGTGAGCCTTTCAAATGCTAAATGGACATTGCTTAATTCCATATTCCATGGCCCCAAGGAGGGGCACCACACACCATAGCTTGTGCAGCTCAGCTCAGGCATCATAATAGCTCATTATGTTGCTGCTGCTTCTATATAGCTGCCACTACTGCCTTCCAAAGTTCATTAGCTAAAAGGCCGTCAAAACCCATCATCAGGCCAAAATGCAACAAGATGGAGATTTTGGAGATTTAACCAAGACATTGAGATTTCTTCAGGGAAAAATCCAGAAAAATATCACTCTGGTAACTTAAAAAAATATATATAAAAAAGAAAGAAAGAAAAGCTATCAATAAATACTCTTAAAACATTGAACTAACTTTTAGGTATTCATTAAATAAATATATCCTACTCCTACCTAAGCATTCCTAATTTATTTCCTTAAATTTCTCTCTAATTTAAAAAAAAGAAAGAAACCCAATTAATAACCATAAAATGCCAAATTCAAATAGTTTTCCGCATAATTCACTCCACACAGGTGAGCCACATAATATACACGTTCTAAACCATATAAAACCATTTAATACATCATCAGAAATCATGGCAAATTAATTTGCCATCCCATCGCTTGGTTGGACATTGCCTCTTAGTTTATCAGACAACTATATCTCTCACACATTCACACACACTAACACTATTTTCTATATACCTTTCTATATGCACATATCAAATTTATTTTGTTTTTATTTCCACGTCGGGATTTATTTTTGGTACGGCGTCAAGAAGTGCATAACTTGGCCACGCTCCAACCAAACGAACCGATTCTAAACTCAACCCACGCCATCGCATAAGACAATATAGAATAAGTGTATGGAATATTTCCTCGAGAAATATTTAAAAAGGCATTTTTTATGAGCAACAAGTGTGAGATCAAGTGGACAAATAAGCCGCAGCCAAAAAGAAATATATATTAAATATTTTCTATTTCATTGAGCATGGAGAGACGGTGCGATACGAAACTATTAACCAAAATGAGGAAAAGAAATTTATCCATAGCTTTAAACAGAATAAATATTATTTTAATATAAATTATAGATGAAACAACTCAAGAATTGAATAGTCAGGAACTCCTAAAATAAACCTAGATATTCTATTTGTATAAGTCACAAGCGATCAATATTCAGAACTTAAAACTAAGGCATTCATTTGAAATGAAAAGCACTGCACCTTTCCTTAGAAATATATATACGGCGCCCACTTTGAATTGATAATTTTTGTTAAAATCGCTCGAGATATTAGCCACTTTCTAGTTGGTCGCATTAATCTTCGATAAAGATTACCCTCAGATTATTATGATCTTTAATATACACACACACACACGGCTAAGTGTGTATACGTTGTTGTGGTGGCCATAAATCCATGCCATAATTATGGCACTAAAAATATACAATTTGTTGCATTGTTTATACACCGCAACCGACAAAACTATGGCTACATCCATAAATTCCAATTTTGCTGCTGTTTCCGGTGATTTTGCAAAAATAAAACAAAAATTAAATATCAAAATCTAATTTCAGATATTTGGAGGCGAAAATTTTTGGGTTTTGTTTTCTCTTGAGGTTAATTTTTAAGTAGGTGGAAAGAGCTTTTGATCGTCTTACGACACAAATTTATAGTTGACATTTATATGATGGGAAATAGATCTTTTGAAACATGTTCATTTATGTTTCTTCTGAGAAACCACAAAATGATTCTATACAAAAATCTTGTTCAAATGTTTGATATCACTTAAGTCAAATTTAATTGGTTGTTAATAAGGAAATTCAGGAAAATAAACTATAATTGAAAGGATTAAAGGATTTATTTATTTGTTTATACTCATAAATATATTTTCAAATTATTTTAAAGCTGTAAAACAAACTCTAAACTATTGTTTTTCAACACGAAATCTCTTTTCTTAATGAAAAGGCATTATTTTTCCTATTTTTCCATTTCCTCAGTGATTGTTAACATATGGCGTGATAAATCGAGAGGATATACAGAGACTTTGGTCTGTTGAAGACGCGTGCTCCAAGATTGATGTCACGATATCGTGCTTGAGAAATGATTCACAATATATACTTTCTATCATCTATGCAAATTCCTCAAAAAACTACTCGTCGACTCTGACGATTCAATTAATAAAACATTACTAGCCGAGGCTATAAAAGCAATGTTGGAGGGAAGGAAAACGGGGATGAAAAATGGAAAAGCACATGGTCGTTAAAAACGTGAAAATGCAACCAACGACGGCATGTGATGGACAACATTCTGATCTCGAGCAGGCCTGCCATAAAAACCCAACATGAATTATATATACACACAATTTAAATTGAATGGCACGAGGCAGGCAGGCAGGAAGCAGAAGCAGAAGCCAAATTCATAAGTTTTCATTAGCGCCAAGATTTACACGGCAAAAGAGACATTAAAATGTCCCCAACTATTGACTTATGACCGCCAAGAGGTCCGCATTAAGTCAGCTCCTCTGGCAGACACACACGCCCAATTATCTGGCATGAAAAAAGGAAATGGAATCGTAAAAACTTTATTTTTAGCTACTAGAATTTTAGAAGTCTTATTTAGTATGCATAAGAAATGCCTAGCTTAAGCCGCTTGAAGGCAGCACTTCGTCTAATGAACTAACTGAGCGTACACTGTGCGTATACGCAATATTTGAAAATTGAAACTTTATTTACTGTTAATAAAATACAATCGAAAATTCATTTATTTATCTATGGCACGCTGAGAAGAAATTGTAGAGCAAATATTTGCAATTCAATTGCAGCGGCAACAAAATGCACAATACATCGACAACGACAGCAGAAATCAAATTGAAATAAAATATATACATATATAAAAATATATCTGCCAACTTTAAGCAATGGCTGCCTGCTGCTGCTGCTGCTGCTACTGCCATGAAAAATATTCTAGGAAACGGACTGACAGACCAATAATATTTATATTTTTTTCGTATTCCAAGAACCAACAAAAAGAAATGTTTCAAATTCGATTTTGTATTTTAGGTCTCTGTTGTTGACACTGGAGCTGCATTTACAGCTGAATTGCTCTTAAGTCTACTCTTAGGATATTAGGTTTTAGTTATAAAATAAATAAATGTATATTATATAGAAATTGATGTGTGTTCACTTACAGTTTGACTCATGCTAACAACTGTTTTTTTGCCCCCAGACAACAACCACAAAACAACAAACTTACCTAAAACGAAAAGAAAAGGTAAATAGAACATATTCTTTTGTGCTGGTTTAGAGCTTAAGGATATCCTTAGCCTATTTAAACACTACTTTATGGTTAAGGAAAATAGGGAAATTAGTCCAAAAGAAAAGAACAGAGGCCAGAGCAGATCATCATGCAAACTTCCGCTGCCAGCAGAACAATTGCCAAAAGCTCTTTTATTTTTTAATTTTTGTTTTGCAAACCACTGACCCTGTTTATATATTATTGTTTACTTCCAATTGTTTTCGCCTCTCGTTGTTATTCAAGACGCGTTTATTTACACAAGCACCAAGAAGCAAGAATCTTTTTTAAATAGAGAACAAAATAGAGTATCGTGTGATAAATGCCGAAAGCCACAATAAATTTCTAGCAAGAAAATTAAGCAAAAAAAAATTAGTAGCAGAAGTATAAATAAGCAGACTAATCGGTGATTAAAACAATAGATCAATGCAATTAATTGTAGAGTTAGGTGTGTAAATACAGACAAATCTAATTTTAACACAATGAAGAAAATGATTTGATGGAAAGTAAAGAGTTTTAAACATTAGTTTGAGTAGAAAAGAGATTAAATTAAAGTAATTTTAACCTAGAGCCGTTTTTACTCTCACTCTCCCTTTCTTATAAGCTTTGCCTGTAAAGTACAAGCCCTAGTGAACGGGATAGTTCCTTTCCTGCCAAACTAAGCATTCATTTAAGATAATTTCTATAGTTTATAGTAATATTATAAAGCAATCTATTAAATGAATATCCCCTAATCACTCAGTAAAAAATACGTAACCCAAATAAAGTGAGTCAGTACTATAATCAAATGAGTAAATATAAAATTCATTCACACAACTTTTAACTGGACAACACACAGAGTGGTAAAACGGAAATCTTTCCAAGCGTTTAATAGTGTGTGAAAAGGTAATTTGCATAAAACGCACACACTCACACATGTATGTGCTAAACCTTTTCCCATGTGTTATTTACATTTTTGTTGCTGTGCTGTAATCGTTTCAATTGTTGTTGCCTCGTATCTTTGTTGCTAATAAATCGCTTATCTAATTTGTTGCTATTTACCTGCCTAGCTCGCTTTTGTTATTGTTGTCCAACGGCAAACACGAATATATATCATCAAAAATACCACGCACACGAAGCTCTCCCCTCTACAAAATATATATACTGTCTCATCCTTATCTAAAAAGCCTAAGCTTTCCATCTCACTTTAACACGCTCTATTCCCATTAAACTGGCACACATTTAAAAATCTGTGCAAAATTTTATTAATTTTTATGAGCATTTAGGCGCGCCTAATGAACAAGGCACACTTCAACACACAACGAAATATTGCTACCATAAATTATAGATTTCATAAAAAGAACATTTTGATGAGATAAGAGGTTGAGAAAATGGGTAAAATCGAGAGTGATAGGGGAAATAGCGGACATTTGATGTTGTCATCAAAGTTATTTAATATTGATTAGCAGTGTTCCGAGAAAATCAAGGGGCTGATTTGGTATTGAGAGCTTAGTTCTTGAGAACATTTTGTAGGTTTTATAAATATATTTCTACAGAATTTAAGCAAAGAAATAATATTACAAAAATGTATTGTGAAATAATTGAATTTATGAAGAAAAGGTTTATCATATTGAAGGCAATTCCAAGTAGTAACAAAATGTTATAAATTGATAGAATTGATTTCTTTTTTCGAAAAATATAATGATTTGGAACCTACAAAAATAAACATATGTACTTATATATATTACTACTTTTCCTCAATTTGGAACATATTTTTTCCAACCTTGGGTTCATTGACTGCTCAAGTGCAGGGGCTCTTCAACCCTCCAACAAAAATCTGACAAAATGCCTTCAAATGTCTTGTGTAAATATTTATTTATCTGCTTGTCTTGCCCATTTAGCACAAGATTTGCATATTTGATTCCATGACTAACATGGCAAAGCACATTGACATATCCCGGTAAAGACGAAGAATGGACCACACCGAAATAGTTTTGGGCCCAAAAAGCAGACAAAAGGGCCCGAGAACAACCAGAAGAACTAGTGATGCTGATGGGGAGATGAAAGGAGTAGTAGAAATTGGCCTCTGGCTGGCAGCATGCCCGATTTTGGATGACATCGAGAGATGAGAAAAATGCCAAATACTTGGTGGCGCACACACAATGCCAGAAATCTCAATTATTTAGCCAAACATGTGTTAGCTGTAGCATTGCTGCATTGTCGGCAATCCCTCAGATACGCGTGCTATATAAGATATATAGCAAGAAAAAAAATATCGAGCAGAAGAACGAGTGGTTTCCATCGTGTAAGGCGACAGGCCACCATAAGTCAAATTGAAATCTTGTCAGCAGACCAAGAAATGATCTCTGAGGCAGACCAAAAGAAATGCTCAAACAGTAAAACCGAGGGAACAAGAAAATGTTATTTATTTGCAACACACAAGAAAATTTAATTGAAAACACAAATAAATAGTTTGGCAAACATAGCCCAGAAAGCAAATCAAATATGCCAACCGAAATGCAAGGCAAAAATCAATTTGCCATAGTGCAAATGAAATAAAATTGGCAAATATCAAATGTCACTCACGCAAAATAGAAAGTGAAAATGGAAAAATAAATAGAAATGGAAATAGGGAAAAGAAAACTTAAAGCAGCAAATTAAATTAACTCTATAAGGATTTTCTTATACTTTATTAAAGAAAATTATTATTATTCTTTTTTGCAGTAAATTAAGGAAAAGTAACCAACCAACTCATGGCAATGATTTGTAAGTCTCGTTTCTCACACAACAGACAGCAAAATATTTCTGGCATTTTCCGGCAAACACATCTCCCACATACTTCCAGCTTCTCCTTCGCCTCTTTGACCAAAAATGCAGTGCATTATGCAAAAGGACCAGCTTAAACTTCATTTAAAAATGCCACCGAGTGGAAAACAACCTTGGAAAAGCGAACACACACAGCACCCAGAGCCACGAGCCAAATGGAGAAGACCAACCACAGGATTTAAGGGCAACATTGGTGGATAAGGCAGCAACATCTCCAGCAGAACGAGCAATGCCAGGCAGCAACATGAACAGCAGCAACAGCAACAGCAGCAACAGCAACAGCATCAGCAACAGCAGCAGCATCGTCATAACTAACAACTGCAGAAACTAAAGCAAAAATGCCTGGCAGCAACAGCATCCGAGTAAAGATTGAATGCAATACACAAAAGAGCCAAATTCCACACCAAACAATAACAACAAGAATAAGAAAGAAGGCGGATTAAGTAAATCGACCTTAAAATACCCAAGACTCGATGTTAAAAAGCTCTAAATGGTCGGTTTAATATTTAAAAGATCAAAATGACATGAAAAATGTCTATATTTAACAAAAGTATGAAATTAGGGGAATTATAGAAGCGTTGTTACAGTATTATACATTTGTTTGGTGTTTAAATATTATCATTAAAGCTTTTCTAAATAAAAAACACATATATGTTTAGGCAAAATAAATATTTGGGTGTTTTTAAGAAACAAAATATGCTAAGTAATGTATTTTTATGTATAAAAAAAACAAAGTACAATTTAAGTTTAAGCAAATATATTTTTATACCCCTGCAGGGTAATATAATTTTAATCAGAAGCCTATAAAAGCAGTGAAGGAATAATTTCCGACCCTATAAATCATATATATTCTTAATCAGTATGAAAAGGCGAATCGATCTAGCCATCTTTGGCAGAAACAAATTTTAAATTTTTTTTTTTTAATTTTCTAAGGGGTTCGTTCCATCATTAAAATTACCAACCACAAAATTGGCAAAAATTTGAATTTTTTAAAATTGTATATTAAGTATGCATTTTAATTAAACTAATAAAAACAGACAAGGGAAAGCTTTCCGAATTAAAATTAATGCTTTTTTGGTTTAGTTATGAGTTTTTAAAAATTTGATTTATCGACAAAATGGTCATATATAAATATAAATAAATATCTTTAAAATGTGAGAACATTTAAAGCATTTTTATGGATCAATTTCCGATTCGGACCTATAATTTAATTGCAAACTGCAAGTAAGTTCGGTTTACCAAAGTTAGTTTGCTTTCTTGTTATATGTAAAAATTAAGTACTATATAAGTTTTTCCTTGCATTATTTGATACTGCATTTTCCATCATACCCCTTTGCCTTGGGCAAACACTGAGTATTTAAATTGTACGAGGAAATGCTTAACACAAACACAGTGGAAAAGAAGAAAATCTGAGACACTGAGACGGAGACACGGAGAATGCAAGAGCAGACGGAGGCACTCCGAGGCGAAAATCCCGACCAGAGACAAATGTGGGTCGAAAGCGCAAAGTGCAACAACTCGCACGCATTGCAGCAGCAACAGCAACAGTAACATCAGCAGCAGCAACGAGAGACGCAAAGAGGGAGGGAAATCCCGGGAAAATGCAACGCCGCACGCGCCTCCGCCGGAAAATGTCTCGGGGAATGGGGGCGAAAAACAAAGGCAAAAAACTAAACCACTTTTTTGGCACTTGCTGCTGCTGCTGCTGCTGTCTGAAGCCCGAAGCTGGAGCAGGGAACTCCTCCTGCTTTTCCTGCTTTTCCTCCTGCTGCCCACCCAACGACATCACGAATTGCCGTTGTCGTTGTCGTTCTTGTTTTCGGTGTCTGGAGTTGTCTGGGGCTCCTTGAACAGCTTAAGTGAAATTTAATGATATCTTCTCACAGGCCCAGACCAGGGGCCAGGGAGCCAGAATAGGAAAGCAGCAACAGGTGGTGGTGCCTGCTTTTTGGCTTGTTTTCGGCAGCCACCTGCTGTTTGGCTAATTTGTTGAATTAAAGTTTTTGATTTTATTGCTGATAGTTGGCCCAGGCCAACGACGAAGCCAGTAACAACTGCAACAATTGGCCAAGAGAAAATTGAATAAAAAGGGATTTGGAGCCGAGTTAAATGTGTGAAGCAATTTATAGAATTTAATTAAATTAAAACCATGAAGG